AGAGAGAGAGAGAGAGAGAGAGACTGAGAGAAAGCTACAAGTTGGCAGAGACCAAGAGGAGGCTCTCCCCTACTCTCCCCAGCCTGGATCTGAATGGCAGGAGGCCTGTGAGAGCTGCCTCTGCCTCAGTGGGAGGCCTGTCTGCACCCAGCGCTGCTCCCCGCTCACCTGTGCTCAGGTACTCCCTGCATCCCTGCTAATCTCCGGGGTGGCTCCCCTCTCACCTGTGCTCAGGTAGCCCCTGCAGCCCTACTACCCTCCTGGTTCCTCAGGCTCCTTCCTGGGACCCTCCTCTGGGGAGGGCAGGCCAGACTCCAGGTGTCACGACCACCTTGGTTCTCTCTCTCTGCAGGGCGAGGAGATGGTGCTGGAGCCAGGGAGCTGCTGTCCCTCTTGCCGCAGGAAGGCTCCGGGTATGGAGGGAACCTGGGCACATTGTGGGGTGCCTCTCCCTAGTCTAGACCCTTCTCCTCTGCCGCCCCACACCTGGCCTTTTCAGCCTGGCAGGTGCCTGCCTGCTGCCTGCCTCCCCCAGGCCGACCTGCCATGGGGATTTGAGGAGTGAAGACCCCAGCACATATCACAGCGCCTGGCTGCCCCACCCCGCGTGTTCCCCTCAGACCCGGGCTCTGCCCCTCTTCCCACAGTCCCCTCAGTCACCTCCTCCTCCTGTGCCCTGTCCCCCCCACAGTCCCCTCGTCACCTCCTCCTCCTGTGCTCTGTCCCCACCAAGTCCCCTCAGTCACCTCCTCCTCCTCTGCCCTCTCCCCAAATCCCGTCCTCCTTCTGTGCCCTCCCCCACAATCCCCTCTGCCGCCTCCTCCTCCTGTGCCTTCCCCCACAGTCCCCTCATCCTCCTGTGCCTCCCCCTACAGTCCCCCAGTCACCTCCTCCCCCACAGTCCTCTCAGTCCCCTCCACCTCCTGTGCCTCCCCAACATGGTCCCCTCAGTCCCCTCTTCCTCCTGTGCCCTCCCCACATTCCCCTCATTCCCCTCCTCCTCCTGTGCCCTCCCCACAGTCCCCTCTGCCACGTCCACCTCCTGTGCCCTCCCCACAGTCCCCAGTCCCCTCCCCTCCTCCTCCTGTGTCCTACCACAGTCCCCTCTGTCACATTCTCCTCCTGTGCCCTCCACACAGTCCCCTCAGTCACCTCCACCTTCTGTGCCTACCCCCCCCACAGTCCCCTCAGTCACCTCCGCCTCCTGTGCCCTGCCCCCACCTCCTGCCACTCAATGCCCCTCCCCACAGAGGAGCAGTTGCCCTCCTGCCAGCTCCTCACGGAGCTTCGAAACTTCACCAAAGGGACCTGCTACCTGGACAAGGTAGAAGTGAGCTACTGCAGTGGGTACTGCCCGTCCAGCACCCATGTCATGCCAGAGGTGAGCCAGGGACCTGCCGTCCAGGCCAGGGGAGTTGCATTGGCCAGTGGCTGCCGAGGGCTGCGCTGAGCCTGGGACCTGGGCACAGCCAGAGGCCATGAGGCACAAGGTGCTTCTCATGGAGATAACAGTGGAGTCAGGGAGGCGGATGGTCGGAGCTTTCCCCAAGGCAGTGGTGTGTACCTGCGGGTTGGCCCAGAGGTTTTACTAGGTGCCTGACCCCCTCCCACAAAGGTCTTCTGTGGCCCCACACCATTCCCAGAGTGTGCCCGCTGTGCCCCTCAAGGCAATGAGCCAGCAGTCCAGCAAAGAAAGGCATGGAGGAGCTAAGCTAACCTCTGAAATTAGAACTCATCACACGGTGCATGAGAGCATGAGGGCTCTGCCGGAACGCCCTTTCTACAGAGAGGATCACCGCACACGTTTCCCACGAGCTGTCCGAGCCAGGCTGGCTCTGAGTCTTGGGCAGGGCTCCACTCTGCGTTTGCCCTCTGTGGACCCAGAAGCCCTGATCCTTCTTAGGATCATCCAAGGGGCTCTGTGCCCCCTCTGAGTCCCCTCAGCCTGAGCCTGATGAGCTGTGACCTGAGCTGCCTCCTGCCAGGGTCCTCTCTCCAGCTCCACTCCCACTACCGCCTGCCCCTGGGCCCACCTCGCAGTGCTCTGCGGCCGTCCCTCCCACCTCAGTCCACCTGGTTTACCTCATCCTGGAAGACAAGGATGCTTTTCTACCTGGTCCCCAAAGACACAGCCCCTTAACCCTCAGCCACTCTACGGCTCCCCCAGGTGCATCCTGGACCTCCTGGAAATACCTTCCCAAATCACTTTTGGAATTTTTTTCACACTTTTAGAATTTTTAAAACATAGAGTGAGAAAAGAGAGAGAGTAATTAAGAGATGCTTTTTTTTTTGTTTTTTTTCCTGAGGGAAGAAGTTGATAGTGGGATAGAAATTGGAGGGATAATTTTTTGCTGAATAACCTCTGGCAGTTTTTGAACCTGGCATTGTACGAATGTACTACCCATTTCAAAGCAAAATTATAAATAGAATTATACATGAAATTAAATGATATGTTCGTAGGACTCTGATAGAGGTGCTTTAACCACAGTGCACAGGGATCTGCTTTGGAGAACTCACTTTGCATTTGGGACCAGAACTATGCAGTTAGAACTGACTTATTTGTAGTTTCATATATAAGTCTCTGTCCCACTAGACTCAGCCCCTTGCGGTAGGAGTATGTCTTTCCCTCTGCGGCCAGGAGGCACTGATGGGCACGTTAAAAGGATTCGTTTAACCTGTAGGTTGTTGGACATTCAGACAGTTGGGGTGAAGGAGGTGGGCTTCTTGCAAAAGGGGCTTGGCAGTGGCCCAGCCACCCTGCTCAGTGAAGAGGGTGTGCTCTGGCCCTCCCGCCATCCCACCCCGCCTAAAATGGGAAAGGCCAAGAGGGGAGGAAACTCCATTTGGCCCTAGTTCACCCACTCCCTCTCGCCCAGGAGCCATACCTGCAGAGCCAGTGTGACTGCTGCAGCTACCGTCTAGACCCGGAGAGCCCCGTGCGGATCCTGAACCTGCGCTGTCTGGGTGGCCACACAGAGCCCGTGGTGCTGCCAGTCATCCACAGCTGCCAGTGCAGCTCCTGCCAGGGTGGGTCTGGGCAGGGCTCCGGGCAGGGAAGGGATGGGGAAGGAGCCTAGGCAAGGACCCAGTGTTGTGAACTAGACCCAGGAACACACACATAGCTCCTCGTTCCATCATTCTTCGTTGAGTTCTTCTAGTCCATGTTTTTCCTTCTTCCCAGTGTTCTTGTTCATTTCATCTCCTATCATGTGTAAGTGTGGGTGTCTGGAGTAACTGTACCTTGTTCAAACCCCGGCTCATCTGTTTCCTTGCTCAGCCTCCCTGA